TTTTTGTTTACTATGTAAAAATTCAATATACCACGTAGATCATATGAAAATTGATCTACATACACCCTACCCTTAAAGATAATTGGCCAATGGACTCACTAAGACATGTAAACCAACTTTTTTTTCTAGTAGTCTTTTGATATTACATTCTAGCTCCAAAAGTGTTTATGTTCTATTTACTTGAGCTTTAATTATTGCATTGTAAATTCGATATGCTGGGTATTTTGAACTCTAGCATTAAAAGAGCAGTGAGTAAAACACAATGTCCAGGCTTCTCTATATTGATATAATTGAGACTGCAGATAACTAGAAGCATCAGTATATTTTTTCAAGAATAAATTTCACCTTTCTTCAAAAACTAATTCAACATGGCTATTTTTTGCATAATATAAGTTTTCAAAAAACTTTTTCCAGCTATCTCAGTATTTGCCAAGAAAGTGTTTTTCTAAATTTTTTCTAATATGGAACAAGCAAAAGTGATGCTTGGTGGTTGGCCAAGAACTGCTTGCTGCTACAACCATTGCAGAGTCAGAATCAGTAAATAACAAACGTGGCACTAACCCACTAGTTGCCTCAAGTATACTTGAAAATAGCCACCCACATATAAGTATCTTTAGTTTCATCTAAAACTATAGCAGCTGCAGCCAGACAAGAGTAATTATAATTGTCTATCACAATTATAATACATAATATCATAGAATAATGATTTGTTTTTGCCGTGGAATCAAGCAAAGCAATATCATGAAACTGTGTCCACAACTGCTATTGTTCAGGGCTCATCCAAAAGAGCCTTGTTAAACAGTTATCTTGACTTTCAAAATATGCATTAATATAGAATGTAGAATCTAATTGTTATTATTTTACTAAGTTATGATATAATGCTCCAGCATTGCTTATTGATTCTTCTTGATTTCTAGTTGCCCAAATCATATTGTACATGTTATGAGCATGTATATACTTCCCAGTTTTTTTTTTTGCAGAATTTTAGCAATTGCATCAGCACATACTCCACAACTTGTAAGTAGCTTATTATCCTTATTCATTTCAGACATAAGTTTTCGATAGTGTGATGCAAGCATTTCAATATTTTTGGTAAATGGGTGATCATGTTGACCAACTATCTTTGTTATATGAATTTCATTATCCTTTTTACATCAATATGCATTAATATAAAATTTACAGTTTTCTGTATAATAACCCTGATTATGTTCATCTATAGTATTGCTTTCTTTTGTGAAACATATTTTCGGCCCTTCATACACTTGTAGGTATGATGTCAAGAAATTCTATCTATTTTATCATTCTCATTATGAGAAATTGTAAACACAAAGCCATGCTCTAAACTATAATTACAAGTTGTCTAAATAACAATAATAAAAATTAAAAAAATATACTATTAACCTAATTCACAATACTAGAAGAACCAAAAAAAACTAATTACTGATTTAATTCCTTCCAATCCTTAAACATCATCCCAACTGAAATTGGATATATAGATTTTTCACTATTTTCACTATTATTCACTGTGACTTCAATTATATTTGAGTTATTTGTTTTAGAAGATGATGAGCTATTACTTGTATTGTTAACATGAATTTTGAAGTTATTAAATTCAGAATGTTTGTCAGAATATGTATCAACATCTAAAATTGGTAAGATATTCATTATGTCTAGGTTATTTGTTTTAAATAATGACAAGCTATTATTTGTATTGTTAACATGAATTTTGAAGTTATCAAATTCAGAAAATTCGTCAGAATATGTATCAATATCTAAAATCAGTAAGATATTTATTATATCCAGGTTATTTGTTTTAGATGATGGCAAGCTAGTACTTGTATTGTTAACATGAATTTTGAAGTTATCAAATTCAGTATGTTTGTCAGAATATGTATCAATATCTAAAATTGGTAATATATTTATGGAAATAAACTAGATGCAGTAAAAGCTTATAATCAAGTTAACTTGAAAATAAGATGTGCTACAAAAGCTAAGAGCAAGGTTGAAACAAATAAAACTGTATATATTGAAATGTAAGAGAAACATAGATATACATTAAATATAGTAAATATGGTGAGTATACGTTATTGCTTCTTTCTAATAGTTCAGATAACAAAAAATGGTAGAGAAAAGAGTTGCATCAAAACAAAAAATTACCTTTTTTATGGATAACTACAATTGGGGTCGGAGTTTTGTGCTTTGCATAATAAAGTTTTAAATTTCAATATGCTTTGCATATTAAAGTTTTAAATTTCAATATGCTTTGCATATTAAAGTTTTAAATTTCAATTAAAAATAAGTGAAACTCCAATCAGATAATGTGTGACAATCAGTGTTGCATTAAGCATGTGTTCATATGCAACCAAAAAGCGCCAACCCTGATTTTGGAACTGGTGTTGAACACCAGTAATTCAATTTAGTTCTACTGTTCTAAAATATTCTATATAATTTAGTCAAAAAACTTTAAACAATAATACAGTATATAAAAAATAGTATTACTTTAAAATCTTGCAATTTTTATATTTCAAATTATATATTTTGTATACTGTTGCTACTGTATAACATCTAATTAAGCTCCAATAGTTGTCCGGAATTAATATTTATTATTTATTATTGCAATAATAAATCATTTAATCACTTAAGTAGATTAGATTAATTTGTATATTAATTTGGTATTTGATATAACTATAATACAATAATAAGATTAATTAAGTAGAGCTAATAATGAGATGTCATTGTACTATAAAATTACTTTGATTAATCAAATTATTTTATACCTTCTTATCATAATTTCTGGAATATTTGTAAAAACTTGCTGAATGATTTTTTAGCTAATCTGGTTAAGTTACAGATTTGGAAATAATATTATTATCATTTGTCTTCAAATTTATTTACATCTATATTTAGATGATTACAATACAATACAATATAAGATTGGGAGTTACCTGTACAAGTTTTAAGCTGTTGTCAAGTATCATTGTGTTATTTTAAAATAGATTTTCTCCTTTTTTTTCTTCCTTCCTTCTTCTTTCTACTTTCACAGTAGTCTGCTTTACTACACATAACACTCTCTGGTCTGCTGACTTGTAAAAAGATAAATTATTCTTATTTTTTTTTTTACAAACAGCTCTCTATTTGGGTCTAATACAACTTTACAATACTAGATCAGTATCTATCATAAACAACACTTTCTGGTCTGCTAACTTGTAAAGGGATAAATTACTCTTATTTCATTACATACAGCTCTCCATTTAGGTCTCTAGTATGCTATGCTGCGATACCATACAAATGACTTTTCATTTTGGTCTTGGGAGGTAAGAAGAAACTAGATACTTCTTCAAGCTAAAAACAAAACAAAGCTCTAAAATTGATCTACCATGCATAAACTGGAACATTCTGTATAACTGCAAGGGTCACATGACTCATGATAACCTGCCGCCTTGTGACTTCGTTCACAAGCGGCCAAGATTCTGTAGCGTATATATTAGATATACGTAATTTAATAAGATCAGATAACTAATATATATTACAATAAGACTAAATATCGACATGCATATTTGTCGAACTTGTAAGTCGTAAATTTCAATTCCTATTCTTTGGCACAATTCATTTTTTTTCAAACGAAGCCTTTATTCATTTCTAATTATTTTTTGACGAAAATTCGGGTTTAGTAAAATTTCAATTCATATTCTTTGGCAAGATCTATTTTAGTTCAAACGAAGCCTTTATTCATTTCTAATTATTTTTTGACAAAATTTGTTTTTAAAAAATTGTGTAAAATTTCAATTTCCATTCTTTGGCAGGATCCATCATCGTTCAAATGAAGCTTTTATTCATTCTAATTATTTTTAACGAAAATTCAGGTTTAAAAATTTTGCAAAATTTCAATTCCTATTCTTTAGCAAGATCCATTTTCGTTCAAACAAAAAAGCCTTTATTAATTCTTTTGTTTTTTTTTTATTTTTTTTAAATATTTTTTATGAAATATATTTTATAATTTACGAAT